CATTTTGACATAAATGCCACAAACATAATCCATGATGGGATTGAGGTAACAACTCATCAACTACCGAAGATATAGCAGTGGACTCATCAGTGAATATGCTCCTTGGTTTCTTTCCTCCCATTGCCTCGAAAAAGGTAGTGAACGACCAAGTAATTGCATCATATGTTTCACCATCTAGTAGGTCACAACCAGACAATGATGTTTGTCCATGATGGTTTGTGCCTACAATTGGTGCGCACAACATGTCATATTTATTTGTCCGAAAAGTCGTATCAAAACATATAGCATCACCGAACAACCCATAATCCCGTCTAGATTTTGCATCACAAAAATATACTCCACATATTTCACCATCTTCACGTGACCTAAATGAATAGAAGAAATGTTTGTTCTCATTTTTCTTCTGCTTGAAGTATTCTAGAAGACATTCTGCATTACCTTTCTTGAAAAACTCAGACCGTCTTCTTTGAAGGAAGTTATTGCAATCTGATCTTGTAAAATTAAGGTTTTGAGTTCCACCTGCTTCTTCACACATATATGAGAAAATATGTCCTTGCTTCAAGCCGGATGCATGCATTGTGCTCATCATTTCAGCTTGCGTAAATTCAATTTTCCGTTGAGATCTCAAGTAACCAGCATGACAAATGGTGCAAGGTCATGAGAATGTACTGATTCAAAACCAATCACTTGATACTTCTCACTTGGAAGACGTTTAAATGCAAAAGATGCTTTGCAATCACAACGTGTCTCATCTCGTTTCTTCTGAGGTGTCTTGATTTTCTTGTAAAACCCTCACATGAACACACTAAAACTTGACGTTGGATTAGTTTACTATCAACTCTGTTTTTGTTAATTCGGAAAATACGCACACTAAAACCAATCCTCCTTGCGTATGAGTTGTAAAAATTGTAAGCATTTCCTGCACTATCAAACTCCATCCCAATTTCAGGTTCTATTTCAATATTTCCTTCTTCCAGAAGAAGCTGATTATTTGAACCCCTGTACTCTTCATTAACAATAGAAGTCTCTTGACTCACACAAAATTTAAGTCTGGAATACTCATGACAACTGATCAAGACTACAAATCTACAAATATTGAGTAAAAAATAAACATACAAAAATTGCCAACTTTAAAAATCTGTACGAATGTGAATAAAGTTCAATTTTTTATATATCAAGTACAAAGTATGTAATAATTCAAGAAAAAAATTAAACTTATTCAAATCACCAACTTTGACAAATAAATTGTTAAAAGATCTTTTCTAAGAATGGAAATCGGTGGTACCATACTACTGTATGAGTTAAAATTTTCATTTACAAGTGCAAAATCAAATATTCAAATACTAATAAAGGAACTAAAAGCATCTTTAACTATGATAGAAGTAATGAAAAATACCTTATCGACGTCTGCAAGTGTCTGAAATCTTCTCTACCAGCAGTTTAGAAAACAAGGATCGAAGCACACTGAATATGGAGGTCTGAAACTTTGAAGCGGAGAAGATAGACGATGGAGAAATAATACTCCGTATGGTTTAAAAAATACGACAAAAGAAATTAAAAGGGTATTGCTACAATTTAAAGTGCCCCCACATCCTAGATGCAGGGCCGTTTTTTAGGGGGTTCAATAGGTTATCCAGAACAAGGCCCGCGAATTTATGAGGCCCCAAAATTTTAATTTTTTTTAGTATTATATAGTATGGAGTAATATTAATACTAATCAGTAAGGAAGAAAAATATAGATCTATCATTTTTTCGTTGGTCCTTTTAGGAAAAAGTGTCAGATAAGGTCTTCTACTATTACGAAATCGTCACATAAGGTCATGTACTCAATAAAGTGTCATATAAATACGTCTACTTTTAAAAAGCAATCAGATGACTCAAAACAACCCATTGACAATCTTCTAATCCCGATTTTAGCTTACGTGTCATTATTTTTGTCTTGTATTTAAGCCAATCCTGACCAAATATTTCACGTAAGCTTTATGATCTATTTTAAAAAGATAGCCCAAACATACGCTAAAACCGGGATTATGAGGTTGTCAAGAGGTCATTAGGACTCATCTTATTGCTTTTTATAAGTACATGTATTTATATGACACTTTATTTAATATATGACCTTATGTGACGATTTCATAATAGTAGAAGACCTCATTTGACTCTTTTCTCGTCCTTTTACTCTTTTAGTTCTTTTTTAATGAGTACTCAATTGTTTCGAGTATAAGCATTTGAATTAATATTTTTTTTAAATTTTTTTATATTAATGTGGGGCCTGGATTTTACTTTTAGAACTGGGGCCTCCAAATTCATTAGACGGTCCTGCCTAGATGTCATTTCTAAAACAAAACTACACACTCCGTATATATTGAAGAATATGGGCATAACCAACCATTCCAGCTCACTGGGTGGAAGGTTACCGTGTCCTAGCGGAGGTCTCGGGTTCGAATCCCGCTAGACATATTTAGGGGAGAGGAGGGAGGTCTTGCTTCCACTGATTTTTTCTACCTTCACGGAGTTGCTCAGGGACTGAGAAGGGAGATGATGGTAATGAAGGTAGCGGGTTCGTGTGGTGGCACGAGGCTGACTGTGATTAGATCCAGATTAATTGTCTAGGGGCTTTGGAGGGTAGTTCATAGACTCCAAGATTATGGGAGCGTAAGCCCTGACACCTGGATTATCAAAAAAAAGAAAAAAAAAGAATATGGGCATAGTGGGAGAAAAGGACAATGTGGTGTACTTTTAATAATAAAATACTTGAGGGTTATGTTCACCCTCCAAATGGGGACGTGAACAAAATTACACTCTTATTTGCGCACTTTCCCTTTTGTTTGGTCAAGCCTCCTCCATCTTCAAGCAAAGTCCTCTTCTTCAAGCTCCACCCAGATCCGCCAGCGTCACAGCTCCTCCCCCGGGTCACGTCGCTCCACCATCGCCATTGTGACTCGAGGTTGCAATGTCAAAGCGCATCGTTGCCGCCGAAGCCAGTCGCCACACCTTCATCGCTCACCTCAGATCACACCTTCGTCGCTCACTGCCATTGGAAGTCTGTAGCCGACCTTCGTTTTCCTCATCCTTCTGTCTCGCGTCAGAATGGCCATGGCGATCGATTTTCGCCCCTGCATTTTCAGATCTAGCAAGTAGCAACAACTAGGCCCTGAGACAGGCGATGGTCTTGGTCGTGTTTGGTAGCAGAGATGTGAGGTGTTGACTCTGGTAGCTGGATCTGACGGTTAAGGTGCTACGGATGGGCTGTGAGGGCTGGAGCCTGGATTTGGGACTGCACACTGCTGGTGGGGTTGTGATGAAGGTTCCATGGCGGTGGGGCAAGTAGTAGGGCTGGTGGGGTTAGGGGAGGTTTGTGCGAGTGGTGGATAGGGTTGGTCGGGGGTTGGGGACTGTTGTGAGGGTATGGGGCTACTGTGGGGCTGGGATGGGGCAGGGGAGTGGGACTGGGGTTTGGTGGTCGAAGGTGGTGGTCGCTGAGGTGGCTGGAGAGGGGACTGGGAGGTGGTGCTTTGGGACAGGGGTCAATGAGAGGTTGGGGACGGTGTTGGTTGTTCTGTGGGGTGGCGATGGGGGGAGCGGTGGTGGACGGCGTTAGTGGCGGCTAGGCTCTGTAGTCGGACGACGGAAAAGAGGTGCCAGAAAATTTTCCGACAGTCACAGCGGCAGTGTCACAACGGCGGCGTCACTGTGACAGCGTCACTATGGGCGGTGGCGAACGACGATTACTGGTTGGATGAGGTGGTGCACGTCACTGTAGCATGTCACTTGTCACTGTATTGTGTCAAGTCAATTAATAACAATACCTATTACATAAGTAAAATTGCATATATTCACTAATTATTTAAATTAAATATGTGACGAGTGAGTCTGACAAGATGAAAGTGAAAACTAACAATACATATTACATAAGTAAAATTGCATATATCCACTAATTATTTAAATTAAATATGTGACGAGTAAGGCTGACAAGATTAAAGTGAAAGCTAGAGGTGTGCACAATTCGGTAAACCCATTGAACCAAACTGATACCGAAAAATCAATACGTATTAAATACCGAACCAAAATTCTGGTTCGGTAATCACTATGTATAACTTTGAAAATTCGGTATTCGGTTCGTTATGTATATAAATATTTTGGTTTTCGGTATGTGTCAGATACTAAATACATAAAATAATAAATATTAAATATATAATTTATTTATATATTTTTGCCCAAAATATATAAATATTGATACGCAGAGTATTTGTCTTATTCAGTATGTATTACGTAGTATATATATATATATTATTTAATATTTATTATATATATATATATATATATATTATTTATATAAAGATATTACCCGAAATAGGACTAAAACAGTTTGAAAATTTCAAAATAGGACTGCCATATTTTTATTTCCAAAATAGGACTAATTACTGTCATGTTTTGGCAGTACCAGACTTCAAACATGTCTGTATTTTCTAAACATGGGAGTAATTAGTCCTATTTTGGGAATAAAAAACATGACAGTCCTATTTTGAAATTTTGAAACAATTTTAGTCAGGGGCAGAGGTAGGGCACTGGGCCAGATTGAGCCGGTATAAAGAATATTATAGGAAAAAATTTTACACGAAATTTTTTACAGTAAAAATATTGACATTTTTAAAATTTGGGGTGGGGTAGGGCCTAGCCTGGGCACCCCTAGCTCCGCTCCTGATTTTAGTCCTATTTCGGGAACTTTCCCATTTATATAGTATGAATTACTCCCTCCGGTCCCAAATGAAATTCACTTTCCTTTTTGAGTAGGTCCAAAATAAACTTCACATTTCTTATATCTTCCTTATTTGGCAAATTATCTACATCAAAACAGTGCAAAAAACTGTGCAAAACAATATCAAATAATATCACAAAAGTGTACTCTGTAGTAAAATCAAATTTATTTTTTTATACATTTATGCTACATGTAAATGGGAACATCACTCATTGACTTGTCTGACTTATTACTGATTGGATTGGACGGAACTGAAATTGACAGACTGTGCGCTTCCGATTAGTTTTGACAACCTGGAAGAAGAAAGATATCATCAAACTCGGTATAATTTACGACGAGCCAGTAAGAGTCTTTTGCAGCCGTTTCCCCAATTCGATCTTGATTTCTCCTCCTCCTAGGGTTTTTTTTTGTTTTAAAAAAATTGTCTGTAGTTAATGCGTTGTAAAGATAAGGAATTTTAAAATATTTACTCAATGTCAACGTCGACAGTGTCCATCACCGCCAATCCATCCTCCGTAACTACCCGCCGCCGAGCCGCCGCCGAGAAAAAACAGCCCACGGCTTTGGATGTGTCCGACTCAAATTTGGCGGCTGCGGTTGCCGCAGCCGCGGTTGCATCTCCATCCACCGCTAACGATAAACACAATGCTGGCGACGATGGTGTTAAAGATCTAAATCAGCATTCCATCCGAACAGAAACTAGAGAAGCCATTCAAGTCGTTAGAAAGCCCTTGCCTAACTCAAATGGCACGGTACCTTCGTCTCGCCGTGCAGGGACAACGAAGAAATTATCCAAGCCCGAGAAACCGCGCTGGCAGACGGTGGGTAGTATCTTGGCTAAGAATTTATGTCTGTTGTTGATCCTGGTGGGGTTTGTTCAGATTATACGGAGAAGTTTTATCAATTCCGGGGGTGGAGATGGTAACAGCCTCACAGTGATCTCAGATGATTTTGAGGGGAAATTTGTGGAACTGGAGAACTTTCTGAAGAAAACAACTAAGATGATGCAAGTCCAAGTGGAGGTTATGGACAAGAAGATAGATGGTGAAATTAAAACCTTGAGAAGTGATTTTAGTGAGAAGATTGAGGAAATGGGTGCAGAATTGGAGGCAAAAGTTAAGAATTTGGATGTAAGGAGTGATAATTTGAAGAAGTTGATTACTGAAATGGAATCCAAGAATTGGGTGTCTAAGCAAGACTTTGATAAATTTCTGGATGAGTTCAAGGAGAAGAATGGTGTTGAAGCTAGTGAATTGAGTTTGGATGAGGTAAGAGCTTATGCTAGGGAGATTGTGGAGAGGGAGATTGAGAAGCATGCAGCAGATGGGCTAGGGAGAGTGGACTATGCATTGGCTTCTGGTGGGGCTATGGTGATGAAACACTCAGAGCCCTTTTACCCCATGGGTGGCAGATTTTGGATTTCATGGACTGATCGGAACAGAGTTCATACCGATGCCCATAAGATGCTGATGCCAAGCTATGGAGAACCTGGGCAATGTTTCTCACTTAAAGGAAACAGTGGATTTGTCCAGATCAGGCTAAGAACAGCCATTACTGCAGATGCTGTTACACTGGAACATGTTGCTAAGGTGTTTCTCTTTTCCACTAGTCGATACTGCTAACTACCTTTCTAACTTTTTCAAACAATATGCATTCTTTGCATTACTTAGTAATTGCCTCCTGCATTTGTTATGTTATGGGTTTCATTTGTGTTTCCTTATTTGGTTAGGTTCATGTGGCCATGTGGAAAGGATTACTTTACTTGTATAGTATTTTATTATTTTGCTGTTTCAGGTTGAGCTTTCTTATACAGAGAGAGGGTTGTGTTGAAAAAATGAGTTATAGATTCAATATGTCATTGATCAGTAGCATTGGTCTTGAAAACAATTGTATATAGATTTTAATCCTTTCTTATATTTATTGTGGTTCTATATATTTGAGAGGTTCTGTTTGACTGATTGTTCTATATGGAAAATAATGGATTATGTTGTATTTACTATTCAGGGTTTGCTTTCTCACATTTCATATAAAAAAATTAAAATATTTATAAGATGCGACCCATGATTTTCGTTACTTATAATATTCAATATAGTGTATCTATAATATTCTTTATCATTATGAACCAAATCTGTCCAATCACCCTTGCTTATTGATATATAAAGAATATTGAATTCCCTTAAGTTTTGCTTATTTAGACTCTTTGCTTACTATCGTTGCCTTTCGTCACCACTTCCTTCTCTTGTTAGTGTTTCCTGGCCTGTGTCTCTTGTTTTCCCAATCACAATGCCAGAGATATTGCAATGGGATTTGCTGACTATTTGAAACCAATTTTCTTAGCCTGTCTGGACTTCCCATGTCATCACAAAGTGTACCTGGTTGGTATTGCAAAGATTTCAATCATGAGGCAGAAACTTTTTTATTTCCATTAATGACTCTTGTGCTCCTAGAATCACCTGAGCACTTAAGCTGGAGTTATATATTTCATTTTTTTTATGTGATTGAAGTTTTCATATTTGGCAACTTTCAGTAGAACCTTCAACCTTGTCATGCACTCTTCTATGTAGCAGCTGGGCAGAAATGTTCAACTGTGGCACAAGTGCAGTAGTGCACAACTAGTTCAAATTCTTCCAGAATGGAAAGCTCTAGATTATTTAATTATCGCAGTAGCCACTGTTTCGGATCCACTTCCTCTTCAATATTTAATTCAGGGTGTGCCATGGGGGAATATATCTGCAACAATTGTAAAGTAATGAAAATGGAGGGAAAGAGATGTATGTAGTAACCTCTATTCATGTTTGTGAGAGCCGAGAGGATTAAATGAAGAGGTAGAGGATACTGTAAGTAAACACCTTAAAGGAAGAAAATGAGGAAGATGGTAGGTGCTGAGAGCAGAGAATGTAATGTAGGGAGGAGGTAGAGATTGGAATATACAAGGAATGTCTTTCAATAATTGTTTAATCTTACCTACCTACCTACTCCCCGAATCAAAGTGTAAGAAAATCTGTAAAATGAATGAGGTGTAGCCGTGTAGGGAAGGGGAAAGTACACCTACACTCTGATACCTTCCCTACCTCCTTTTATTTATCTAGCATCTCTGCTAAAGTGCTAAACAGGGGTAACTGACCACCCTTCCCTCCCTTATCATTATTTAAACCTCTTTACACCTCATCTAAACAAGCTGTAAAGGTGGTTAATTCTTTTTGGCAGTTCTTATTTACATAAACATTTGCTTCAGCTTACTGTATTTCTATCTTCTGTTCCTCCACCGTTCATTCTGGTTTTCAAGGCTAAAATATACTCCGTACTATGTTGTTTTTTTCTAGGATGTAGGGTAGTGCCAATTTTAGCTATGCTGTGTACTCATATTTTCTCTTTCGTTTCAGATAAATCCCTGTGAACATCATTGACTTCAGATAAGTTCTTTGCTTTAACGTTTCTTCTTTGTTTGCTTGTGTGTAATAGAGCGTTGCGTATGACCGGTCCAGTGCTCCAAAGGACTGCAGAGTCTCAGGATGGCTCCAACGGCAATATTTGACTGATGTAGCTGTTGAAGCTGAGAAGGTGTTTCTTTTGGCAGAATTTAGGTACGATCTTGAGAAGAGCAGTGCTCAAACATTCAATGTACTGGAATCTGCAGCATCTGCTGTTGTCGACACAATCAGGTTCGATTTTGGATCAAACCATGGGCATCCCTTGCATACATCCATCTACAGGCTGAGGGTACATGGCAGTGAGCCCAACTCTATGTCAATGATGCCAGTAGTGTCATCACACCAGCAGCAGTAATTCATCTGTGGTTTACATCGTTTTTTGTTCTTTCTTTCTTCCTATGGGTGTATTTGTGTTTGTATTCTTCCTCGTACTGGTTGATATTCGAAGAAGTTCCCAATATTATCCCTCACTGTCTTCGTTAGGAGTAGTATTATGTTCTACTTAGTAGGAGGGTAGTTGTGTAAATTTGTTTCCTTTCTCTGCTTGACCTGATTTGTAAGGTTGAGAGAAACTCAGCGGACGTTATAGTTGTAGCTAGCAATGCTCTTTTCAAAGTTTGAGTAACCTCTTAAAAAGTGAGTTTGTGTCATTCTATAGTACCCTACAAAATGGTCGGGATTAACATGAATAAAAAAGTATTTGCTTCTACATTTGATACTTGATAGTGATGGAAAGGAAAAGTTATTTTTTCTAAAGTGTACTAGATTAAAATGTTGTCAAAAAGGGTAAAAATAAGACTGTTTAGTGAATATTTTTTGTGTGAAGTAATGTGAAAAGCAATTTAAGCATCATCCTTTTAGCTTGTAACTTTAAACGGCTTTATAATTAAACAATAACACTTGCTTAAAAATACTACTTTTAGTTTTTTAAATAAAAATTCTGGTGTAGCATGCGGGACATGTTAAGAAAATTGAGTGATGCTATATTTGTTGCCCCATGGGAACAACGGAAGAATGAAAACTGGAGGGGAGTATATGTGGTTTAATGTTGTATTTTTATTTGTGAGTTGTGAAGAGTTCTTGTGAATGTGTGCATCCAATATGAATCAAATGTGTTTATATTAATTTCACTGAACTTCTTATTTTACTTTATAAATCAATTAAAACACATATCCCTTATGTTTCACGTTTTATTTCATTTTAGTTGAACATTATACTCAGTTTATTAATTTCATTTTTAAGTATTCATTTTATAATTCTTCAAACATTATACTCCCTCCATCTCCGAGAGATATTCTAGTTTAACTTCACATATTAAGAAAATTAAGAAAATAAATTTAACTTCATACTGTAATGACACTGTTTGACACTGTTTTGCACTATTTGTCACCATTTAATATAGTTTTGTTTACCAAATAAGGAAATTAAAGAAGTACGACTTTCATTTAGGGTTTTTCATTTTGAAAAAGTATGACATTCTTTCAGGAACAGAGGTAGTACATGTTTGTAGCATGTGCCATTCACAACTTAAAACTTGACCAGTCACCCCAATCTTTGCAAAATACTTCTAATTGTTGAGATCCAATTATCCAAAACACGGGCGAGACAAAGATCAATCTCACACAATAACTAAGAGTGCACTGCAAACAAAGTCACCAACAAAGGCTCCAAAAGAGCAAGTTGCATTACGATGAAATGTACGTTTTTTATGAATGAAATGTTGATGTGTAAGTCAGAGCCCATTTGGTAACTATATTTTCGACTTATGAGCTATGGTAACAATTTTTTCAATAAACATTTAACTTTTGATTTTACGCTCTTAATTATGTAATGATCAAAATAAACAAAGTTGAATTTGTTTTTCTGAACTGTAGTGATTGAAATTACTATGTAAGATCGTTTTATATATTTCTCATCTATTTTAATTTTATTTTATTAATAATATATATTTTAAACATATTTTTTCAATAATTAAGAAGATTCAATTGTTCCAAGCCATAGTAAAAAAAGTTGTTCCAACCATTTTTTTTTCAATTTCATCAAATTCAGCAAATTTAACTTATTTAAAACGTAATAGCCAAAAAATTCAGAAAAAATATGATTAAGACCAAACAAATCATATTTTAGTAAGAATGCATAATTGATTTTATTGAACAATTTCTAAAAATAGTATTATGTGGTACCTTGTAGTAATTTTGAAAGTTAAGGACCATTTGTGGAATTCTGTAACTGCGAAAGGACCATTTTGAGTACGGTATAATATAATGCATCTTCATAAAATCAAATTCCCGCATGTACCACTCTTCCCATCAGTGCACACTCATTTCTACTGTATCTAACCCAAAACCTAGTTCCTCTTATTCTCCGGCCCAAATCCTCTCTGACCAGCTCCCGTGCGCTTGCTCAGGCACTCTCCGTTCGTCGATAATTAACCAAGAACAACCCTTGTTGCGGAAGCGAAGATGTCTCTGAGGGTACTGAATCCGAACGCCGAGGTGCTGAACAAGTCGGCCGCACTTCACATGAACATCAATGCCGCTAAGGGGTTACAGGACGTTCTCAAGACGAATCTTGGACCTAAGGGAACTATTAAGATGTATGTCATCTTAATCCGTTTACCTTCATGTGTGGTATTGCGTCTATCCGTTTCGATTAGTCTCTGATTCTTGCTTTCTCTAATATTTACTTTCTAGGCTTGTTGGGGGTGCCGGCGATATTAAGCTTACCAAGGATGGCAACACCTTGTTGAAGGAAATGGTGGGTTCTTTCTTTAGTTGTCCTCTTTCAAATTACTGCTCTAAATCCTTACTAAATGAATTAGTGAATTACCGTATCATTGTATCAAAATTCTGTCTTTCTGAATGTTGTAGCAAAGTGCATTGAGCACTTGTGTCCATTTTTTAATTGGGAAAGTTCCCAAAGTAGGACTAAAACAGTTTCAAAATTCCAAAATAGGACTGCCATGTTTTTATTCCTAAAATAGGACTAATTACTTTCATGTTTTGGCAGTATGATACTTCAAAGATGACATTATTTTCTAAACATGTCAGTAATTAGTCCTATTTTTGGGAATAAAAAACATGTCAGTCCTATTTTGGAATTTGCAAACTGCTTTAGTCCTATTTCGGGTAAATTCTCTTTTTAATTTCGAATGCTCGATCTTTCATCCTTATTTTAATAAGTATATACATAAGCTACAAATAATTCTACATAGCATATTTGAGTAGTTCAGATTGTTATATAAGATAGTAGCTAGATGCATGAGTGAAGCAGGATGAAGTATCGGCAATTAAAAACTATTACGGGAGCCAGTAATTTTGCTGTGATGAACCATGTCTATTGTGTACTATCTATTACTAAAGTTAAATTATTCCAAATTTACCTGTGAATGATATGTTCATATATTGTGACTGAATTATATTTTGCTTGATAATTTCAGCAAATTCAAAACCCAACTGCTATAATGATTGCACGGACTGCAGTTGCACAAGATGATACTAGTGGCGATGGTACTACATCGACAGTGCTTTTCATCGGTGAACTTATGAAACAGTCTGAACGCTACATAGATGAAGGTTTGTTATTCCCTGAAGCCATTTTCCAACATTGAAATATGTTTGAATAGCCTAAGATGAAGTCCATTCTCCTACTTTTTGTGCAGGGATGCATCCCCGTGTGCTAGTTGATGGTTTTGAAATTGCGAAAAGAGCGACCTTGCAATTTCTTGAAAGATTCAAGACACCTGTAGTGATGGGTGGTGACCCAGATAAAGAGATATTGAGAATGGTAGCAAGAACAACACTAAGAACCAAGGTTTCTTCAATTCTGATCTTGTTATTCCATCATCAAATGACACTTTTAAGCCTTTGCTATGGACTGAAATTTAATATTTCATAAAATTTATCTTGTTTGATGCAGTTATATGAATCAATGGCAGATCAGCTTACAGATATTGTTACAAATTCTGTGAGTAATCAGATACGAGTGTTTCCTAGATACTTTTATTACTTCTCAATTCTGATTGTTAGGGAAGCAGAATGGTGATCAGGTTTAGGTTTTAACATTTAAAATAATAAGAATAAGAGCGTTTTAATTCACATGGTTCGTGATTGCATGGATTTTATTATTGCTTTAGTTTTTTATTTGACAATTGTCCTGAGGTCTAGTTCTAAAAAAGAGTGATGTTTCGAAAGTTCTTTTTTGCTCATGGATTTATTTATTGTTTTAGTTTTTTCATTTGACGACTATCCTCAGCTCTAGGCAAACATATAACATTTGTCCACATTATTTGTAGGCTTGTAGAGTTGTAGGTACTTTTTAATTTTAATAAAACACTCACTTGTCTGTAAAAAATAGTCATGTTTCAAAAGTTCTTTTTACCCACATGGAAGTATGGTTTGATCAAACAAAACTAATTTTTTATATGTTTTGCCAAACATAGTACTAAACAAGTTAATTCCATCTGATGATTTTAGTAAAAAAAATAAAGATTTAGATATGATTGATGACTTATAAGTTATAATTAATGTACCATACCTAATTCACAAGTCATTCCTTTTTAAAACCTGAAACCCTTTTTGGGATAGAGGTAGTAGTAGTTTAGGTTATTTTCATGCTCGTTCCCTTTATGATTTATATTTCACGCAACAGGTTCTCTGCATTCGTAAGCCTGGGGAAGCTATTGACCTTTTTATGGTTGAAGTAATGCACATGCGTCACAAGTTTGATGTGGACACTCGCCTGGTACATTATATGCTCTAAATGCACCATTTAAATTTTCATTGTTGTATGGAAGGGTTGCTTACTGCATTTAGCACATGAAAATTTTCCCTTTTATGAACCTTTAATTTGTACATAACCATTGTTTTATATCGGTTCTTATGTAACTGCATCAGTTTTAAACCAGTCATGTTAAGCAGAAATGCAGAAAATAACATCTATCTTATGTTATTCTGCCTTCGATGATCCTTTAATTTGTACATAACCATTTATGTTATGCAGAAAATAACATCTATCTTTCTTTTTAAACCTATTCAAAACTAAATTAATTTTCTGCATGTCTGCATCTTTCAGACATAAGTTATTCTCTATCTTACCTTGCGGCTATATTATAAGGTGTATGTAAAAAAGACCTCACACTTACATAGCTGTTTCTCATATTTTAATGGTAATAGGTGGAGGGACTTGTACTTGATCATGGTTCTAGACACCCAGATATGAAGAGACGGGCAGAAGATTGTTACATTTTAACCTGTAATGTTTCCTTGGAATATGAGAAGAGGTAATAGTCTTTTCTGTGGTTCTGTCTTACTTAAATGTTATTGATTTTCTAAACGTTGTTGTCTTGTTGGCGCATTTTCTTTTCTTTTCCACAGTGAAGTAAATGCAGGATTTTTCTACTCAAATGCAGAGCAAAGAGAAGCTATGGTTGCTGCTGAAAGACGCTCTGTTGACGAAAGAGTGCAAAAGATAATTGACCTAAAGAAAAAGGTATCATTATATGAAGCATTACACGCAGCACATGTGGTTAGTTCTGTATATATTTAATATTCATGTTTATTTTTATGGTTGCCTACAGGTCTGCTCAGGTACTAATAACAACTTCGTTGTCATCAATCAAAAGGGGATTGATCCTCCATCACTGGACCTCCTTGCTCGGGAAGGAGTAAGTTTCCATTAAATTCAGCTTGCCGTTTTTGGACTACATTGCAATGTGAATTACGTGTCAATAAGTATTCATATAGGCAGAAAATGCACTAGTTCTCTCTCTCTGCAGGATAGAAAAAGCAACTTATCTCTGTTGTCACCCTTCATTTTATCTCTTTATGTTATATTAGGTGATTTCGAGACATTTCACTAGCCAATTTGCCATTGTTTTTAGGATTTCTTGTGAATTAAATTTTCCAATGCAACTGTTTTTATTCTATGTAAATATTTATCAGATGTGAAATCACTAAATCTATGTATAGTATTTCACCTCAATGATGTAGTGAATCCTATTTTTGTTAGTACTAGTCTTTTTTCAGACAATTACATTTGGTGTTGTTATGATATTTTGGCTATTTAGATTATTGCCCTTCGAAGAGCAAAGAGGAGAAATATGGAAAGGTTGATCCTGACATGTGGGGGAGATGCAGTTAATTCAGTTGATGACCTCTCTCCGGAATGCCTTGGCTGGGCTGGACTGGTATATGAGCATGTTCTTGGAGAAGAGAAGTACACGTTTGTTGAAAATGTTAAAAATCCTCACTCTTGCACTATCCTTATTAAAGGTAATTTCAAGTTTGCATGCCTGTTGTAGAAAAATAGGTGCAAATGTGCACTACGAATCTCAGTGAATCAATTACTGACCAGGTTTTTATTTATTTATGTTTAGGGCCCAATGATCATACAATTGCTCAAATCAAGGATGCTGTACGTGATGGACTAAGAGCAGTAAAAAATACTATTGAAGATGAAGCTATTGTATTGGTATGAGATTTTGTCATCTTAATTTTACATGTGTATTTTGAATGGCTAGACCCTTTACTTTTTTGTGCATAGAGTTTGAGTTTTTTTTTGGGTGTTTCCTTGTCCAGGGTGCTGGGGCATTTGAAGTGGCAGCAAGACAGTACTTGATCAATGAAGTGAAGAAAACTGTCAAGGGGGTATGTTTGTGTTTAATGTATCTGTTTATGGGTCTTAATATTCGAATCCTCAATTGACAAATTTTGAACAGAGAGCTCAACTTGGCGTCGAAGCTTTTGCCAATGCCCTCCTCGTGATTCCAAAGACACTTGCTGAGAACTCTGGCCTTGATACTCAAGATGTGATCATTGCTTTGACGGTAAATGAATAACTAATTCATTAAGGGGCTGTTTACTTGTGACTTAATGGGCTTAATTGGACAGTGATTTATTCACCCAATCATAAAAGTGTATTTATTTACGACCTAATTGGAAACAAGGTTCATTCATGCAGCCAAAAACTGCCCATCATTAAGCTCCAATATATCACTACTTCCATTCAGGTGACTATTAAGATGTCTTTTAAAACCCTTAATGGGATATATGTTTGTTAACAAGTGACTTGCTCATTGACAAGGTAGCCCAAAAATAACCTTAACTTGGTTATTAAATCCAGTTCAGATTGTTTATTCAGTACAATATAAACAGTATCTTACTTATAAGTACTTAATATGGAATAAGATCTTTATACAGACTGCATTTTAATCAAGAGCAGGCTTTATAAAAGTAAACAGACCCTGTGCAGCTTAAAATTGACTTTTATCATCCCTAAATTAATGAGATCATTTATTTATTAGTAATTATGATGCTCTTGCAGGGTGAGCATGACGGGGGAAATGTTGTGGGAGTTTGTCAGCACACAGGAGAACCTATAGATCCACAAATGGAGGGGATATTTGATAATTATTCTGTCAAACGGCAGATCATCAATTCTGGGTATGTAGAAGTGTAATCGCCCACTCCCTCCACACCTCTACTACTATGAGCCCGTTTGGTAACATTGAAATTGGCTGAGTCTCCTGAAATTTATGAAGTTTTGGTTGAAGTGGCTGTATTGGCCGATTCTGCTAATTTACGAAACAATTATATTAAAAATATTTGTTATTAATAAATAAAACAAAAAGTTATGAAAAATAGCTACAATGATCCTCTACACTAATTAAAAGTAACTCCAACCTTACTTTTTCTTATTATCACACAATTCAACGCGCGAAATCAAAAGTTACGTGTTTGGTGAAAAATCTGATTGATAAGCCTGATAAGCCGAAGAAAGAGGTCACCAAACGGGCTCTATATCTGTGGGTTACACCTAATATTACTGTTCATTGCATCCTAGCTGTCATTGGACTTCTTATTTGTTCTCACATCAATATTGTAGAAACTTGTTTCCTGGATGTAGTCAGCAGTCATTCAAATGGGCGTAGACTTTTACCATAATGCTATTGTTTTGGAGATATCCTTGAATAGGAGCAAAAGTCATTTTTCCTTAAATATGACTACAAACACAAGCAGGACTTAAATGTATTCATCATCATCATTACTCCATTGTTGCAAAGGCTCCCCATCTATGGTGGGGTAGGGGGGGTAGATGTACGCATTCTTACCCTTGTACTAACGCACTAACGCACGGAGAGACCGCTTCCGGATGACCTATAGTGAAAATCACGTTGAGAATTACATGGACTGATTGCTTCTTCATAATAAAGAAGCACGGACAATTTAGTGAGCCATTTTGTTTTATTGCATCATATTCCCAAGTCAAAAAACAGCGAGTCTTTGGCTTCATTGCAAATGATGGAAAAAAGACCTAAATGTATTACATTACCCAAAATACCCTTGATAGTATAACCTTGAATAGATTACTTTGACCCCTAGAGAGAGACCACCATGAGGATGCTTCTGCTGCCGCCAGGTCACAGTCTACCTGTTGCCTGAAAGTCACACGTTGCCACTAGGCAGTCGCCAGTCGCCAGTCGCCACTAAGCCCTAAGATTGGATTGGTAACCCTAGAAATGCTTACCCAAAACCATATTGTTAAAACTGCAGAGTAATTCAGACTAGAATTATCACCTCCAAACTAAGGATTAAAATGTAGGTAGTGTTTGGAAATTGTCAAGTTTTAGTTCTATAAATAGCATTTTTCTCTATTTGATTTGTTGTCAGATTATGCCTGCTAAATGCTTGTTTTGTTCTGCAGCCCTGTAATAGCATCTCAGCTTCTACTTGTGGATGAAGTCATCCGGGCAGGGCGTAACATGAGGAAACCAACTTAACCTTTTGTAAACCAGCATTTAGAGGATTTGGTTGTGCCATCGAGTCCCCCCACCCCTCGATTTTTAGTTTTTCAACAACATTTTTGAAGGTTAGTTCTATATTTTGTGATATCAATAACCCAATATTGCTGGTAGTAACTAATTTCCCTTCTAAGTTTGTGATAATATGTGATATATTTTGACCTGCGGATCGATGGATGTGTGCCCTAAAAATGAAGTATCGTTACCATGATCAGGCCTTGATTTCGTTTTAAGAATGGCATGCAGCATAAATTTTGATGGTATTGAAAGAGTTTTAAACGTACTTTGTGAAGTGTATGCCGCTATGTCCCTTCTTTTCTGAAATGGCATGTTTGACAAAACATGATGGCATTAGAGCTGTGGTTGTCGCTTATTATTACTTGGTGAGTGTTCCTTGTATAGTCGACACTCACGATATTGGTGATTGAGATGCATGAAAACAGCCACCAAATATCATGGGCATTTTCAAGAACATTGTATATTTTGTAATTTGTACATGATGCCCACTTTGTTAACAGTGATTGAGATGCATGAAAACAGCCACCAAATATGGGGTCACCCAAAACAAGGCCCGACCCGGCCGGGCCCGGGCCCGGTTCGGGCCAAAAACAATTTTTTTTTTCAATTTTTTTTTTAAATTTTCGGGTTGGGCTGGGTATTTTGGGCCATTTAGGGTGGTTTGGGGGGTTGGGGTGGGAGGGGGGTTAATTAGGAAGAGGAAAACAAAAAAATATAATGGGCCCGGACCCGGCCCGGCCCGGACCCGGTGGTTACCCGGGCCGGTCCTGGGTCCACCATTTCTGACCCGCCGGCCTGCCCGGGCCTAGGCCCGACCTGGACCTGGCCCGGACCCGAGTCCATCCCTAGGTCTCACATTTCGTAATATCAAAGTTGCACACTTCTTCATCCTTGTGCTCCGTTGGTAAAAAATATTCGATATGAATTTTTGAAAGAATTATTTTGATAAAGTATGGAAATAGTGGAAAAGAATGGAAATAAAGTATGGACAGTGTTAAAAGTCTTAAAACATACTACGTAATTGGACACTTTTGATAACCAATGCACGGAATGACGGAAATAAGACCATTATTTAGAATATTATATGCATGACAGCATGACATATAGCTTGACAGTTAATTACGTTGTATGTTTTAACTTTCCATTCTTTTCCTTTTAAGTTTTATCCATCGTCAAAAACACCATTTTGTTTCTGTTTAAAAAAAAGAACATTGTTGGCATTATTTTTGTTTCATCTAAATAAAGTTACTAATACATTTTTCACCTTCCTTAAAAGCCTTCCGAAATAAAAAGGAAGATGAAAAGGGACGATACAAGTTATAAGGATTGTAATGGATTAAAAGGGTAAAATATAAGGTACACCCGCTTGTATTGTGTGATTTGGTACAAACCGTACAACCATCTATTTTTGTAATTAGTTGCAAAGCAGAGGCTAGTAATTACGGAGAAGGATATATGCTTTCTTTAATTTTCTTCCGTTGCTCCTTCCGAGACATTAGTGTTGGATTCGGTTCGGGCCACCCGGTCCGTGACCCGGCCTGGTCTGGTACTGTGCGGGCCTGGGATCGGCCCGGTCGAGCGGTCCGGGACCGGGTGTGGACCCGAACCGGTGGGAATGGGCGGGGCGGGCACGGTTCCAGATAAATGTGACCCGGCCCGGCCGGGTCGGCCCCGGGTCCGGGCGGTCTGATTTTTAATTTTTTTTTTAAATTGGTACTCGGCTACTAGCCGTTGGGGGTGGGTTGGGGACAACCCAAACGGCTATATAGCCGTTGGATGGGGTGCAGGGGGTCCGGGGGGTTGGGTGGTGGGGGGGTGGGGGAGTAAAAAAACCTATAAATACTCCTAATCTTAAACATTTTTTCATATCTCTTCTCCAATTCTTCCTAAATTCTATTCTTAACTCTCTACTCTCTAATTCTCTTATTCTCCAATATATTATATTTATTATTTATATATCTACTTTATAGTTTATACTTAAGAAGTTGAGATGGAAAATCAAGATGCCATTATACGGTATAATTTTGATAAGCAGAAGGACCCGAAGACCGGGATGTGGTACGCAATTTGCAAATGGTGCGAGAAAAAATGTAGCATGGGGGTTTCAGGCGGATACGGGATGGCAATCAAGCATATGAAGTCATGTGACAAAGCCAAAGGATCGGGAGGTGCGGGAAGTTCCGATTGATTACAATTTTCAAAATGTTTGTCTCTTAAAGTTTGTTTTAATTTTCAAATGTAGTTCCTATTTCATTTCAAATAAATGCATTTGAAGTTTGTTTTTAATACTCGTATAAAACTATAAACTATAAAATATAAATTATATAAAAAAAACTTTAACCGGCCCGGCCCGAACCGGACCCGACCCGTGACCCGGGCGGGTGGCCCGGCCCGAACCGGACCCGTCCAACCCTCGGGCCAGTCCCGGGCCCATGTGATACGAACCGGCGGCCCGACCGGGCCTAGGCCCGGCCCGGGCCCGACCCGGTCCGAATCCATCCCTACGAGACATTGCCGATTTGCTCTTCCAACTTCCAACTTTCTTTATCTTCGTGGTTACTTCTTCTCATATTTTTTTTGTATCTATTTTTTCTTGTTTTCTTTTCTTATAATTTTGAACTTCAATTTTTTTAACTTTAATGTTTCTTTTTCTTTTTTCTTTTCCTTTAATTTTGAACCTTAATTTTTTTAATTTTAACTTTCCTTTTTATTTTTTTTTTTTGCTTCCGTTTTTTCTTTTTATATATACCTTTGTCTCTGCTAGTTTAGTTTTGAACTTCTATTTCTTTTTTATTTTTATAAAAAATGTTTACAAGAATTTTTCACGTAGTTCTTTCAAAAATTCATATTGAATGACAATTCAATAAAAATATGTACTTCTCTTACTCTTCTATTAAAAGCTTCAGCTTTCTAAATAATTATGAGTATATTATTTAAATTAAACGTGCATTGATATAATTTTGAAAAATAAGCACAATAAAATTGGTTGGTTTGAAATAAGGAATTGTTGCTTCTATAAGTTACTGAGATCGTCATACACAAATTTATATTCGAGCATACTAGATATTTTAGATAATCTTTTTAAATTTTTCGATGCTCAATTCGTAAGTTATATATGCTCATTTCATATTAGTGTAATGCTCATTTTAAATTAACATCACACCATACATTTTAAAATGTTATATCCATGCATACTAGTGTGACACTCATTTTAATTTTTTTATGCTCATTTCATAGGTTATGTATTCTCATATAATATTTGAACATACTGGAGATTTTAAATGAGCTTTTTGAATTTTTCGATTCTCACTTCGTACATATGTATGCTCATTTGATATTGGTATAATACCCATTTTGTAAGTTACATATACTCATTTGATATTGATGTTATGCTTATTTTTAAAATGTTATATCGACACATATTTCAAAAGTATCATAATACATTAGATTCACATATTGTAATTTATAAGATTTGAGTATAAATATAATTTAATAAGTTTTTATAAAAGAAAAAAATAGAAAGAAAAAGTGAATTAGAAGATATAAAGCAGAGATCATGATTCTCATTGTTAGACTGCTAATACTCAAAAGAATAAGTCTGATGCTCACTAAAAGTGCATTAATGCTCATTCTGCAGAAGTCGTGAATTTGAACTAAATTATCAAAATGTCACCGGTTGTACGGTGTTCATCCTACAATCGACAGTACGGTATAGGCACTCGATTAAAAGAAAGTCAAAAGTCAACTCAAGTAAAAGTGTACAATTGATCAATTTAAGGTTGTACATATAATTGATCAATTTAAAAGCCACTTTTGATCAATTTGAAACAAGTATAAAATGATAAATTAAGTTTAAAGTATTTTGATTTCCCTAATTTAGAATCAACATTTCTATCCTATTTCTTAATTTTGATCCAGCAGCATAACCCACTATCACTCCAAAGTCCAAACCAATATTAAACACCCGTGATTTAATAAAGGAATTTTATCAATTCAGGACCCGAAAGATAGATTAATTATCAATTCGGGACCTGAAAGATAAAATGCATCGATATAGGATCCGAATGATCAAAAACTATCAATTTAGGACCTGAATGATTGAAAACTATTAATCTAGGACCTAAGTTGTCATAATTTTTTTTATTAAAATTTTTTAAATATTATTTCGTTTTATTAAACTAATAAACTTTTGTGAAGAAAAGTTTATCAAAAATTAGTAATGGAATTAATAAAAAATTAAATAAATCAAAACCTATGAAACGTTAGGTCCTAAATTGATAGTTTTCCATCATTTGGGTCCTATACCGATACGTTTCATCTTTTGGATCCTGAATTGATAGATAATTCATCTATCTTTCGGGTCCTGAATTGATAAAATTCCTTTAATAAAAGAGGAAAAAATCATTTTGCGCGCAAAAACCTGATACAAACTGTACACATTGAAAACTGATTTGAATAACTCAACAATAATTTTGTGAAATATATATTTGAAAGACCTGTAAATCGATCATACACACACAACTTTTGTCTTTGTGTGAAAGTTCTATTTGAAATCATATATTTTGTTCACGGGCAATTGAAATTGGTCACATATCCAACTATTATTTGTTAACATCAATGTTTTACATGCATAGAGACGTCTACTACTTGTGTTTTGAAAACTCGTAATTTATTTGCACAAACAATTATTTTTTGCATACATACATTAATTTGCATGTCACAAAACATTAATTTGTGCTCTTGTACGAACACTTTTAGCATGAAAATCAATATATGAACGCATGCATCAATTATCTGTGTTAAGACATTAATTGCTTTTATCGGCACATAATTGTCATGTCAATGCTTTTCAAAATTGGGCATTGATGCGGTTCGATGCCGGATCGATTCCGGTCCCAAATCGGCCAGTCTTGAGGGTGGAGGGAGGTATGATGAGCCTAGACCGGGACCGATTATTCCGATTTCAGGTCGGTTCCAGCCAATCAACCGATCCCTGTTATTTTTTAATTATTTTATTATTTTATTTTTTCCTATCCATTAGTGTTAGTTAAGTCGAATTTAAACAATAACTTTTTCGCATCCCATCCTAACGGCTAATTATTTGAATTTTGAATTCAAAAGGAAAGGTAAGAACTAACAACAAACAACAATAATTTAAACAACAAATTCATTTTAAAAATACTAATAAGTAATAATCCAATTTGCAAATATATTAACAAAAA